TTTCTGTGACTTCCATCCATCCATCCCTGTAGTTCCCAGCACAGTTCTATCTCATGGTCCATTATTGTGAATTGGCTGGATTATTTTGGCAGTTCTTCCTCCAGTTTTCAGCAACTCCCGAGTCAATCTGAGTGACTGAGGTAAGCAGAGGTTCCGTGTGACAGGAAACCAAACTCCAGATACACGGCAGCTCCAGTACCATCTCCTCTTCTGCTGCCGACTGTGGAATTCTAGCCAAAAAAACAAAATCAAGTTTGTCTCTTCTCCTTCATTCTCAGTCAGCTCCCAGTGCTGCTTATTGCTCATCGCCCCAGTATCCTCCATGCACAGGTTGAGGGAGCTTTCGCTTTAATAGTCCATCATTTTGCAAGGGGCAGAGGTCAGAATGAACTGACAGTAACACCAGGATTGCTCTTGATCTTTTGTAAAAAAACTGGCTCCCCGGAACCTTCCTAAATCCCCAGAACTTTTCTTTACTGCGCCGGCATGTAAGTCCATTAGCTCATCCCTGTGCCTCCCCGGGACTCACATTGTCCTGATATTAATACATCGCCCATTTGCCTGTCTTCACGTTTTTCATGGACTCTCTTGCTAGTTTTCTATCAGAAGCTTCCTCACCTCATTTGTCCCCATTCCTCGTCCGTGTGTTGCTTGGTGCAGAGAGCTTTCTGACAAGTGCTCAGTGTCTCGGTCAGATTTCATTCCCTTTCGTACTGACTCATGTCCCTGCTGCACCCGCTCTCTTTGTCTTCTCCCCTGACATTTGTGGCAAAAGCCCCTCCTTCCCCCTTGGCAGAGTTAGCTCCTCCCTCGCCCTTCTTTTCTCCCTAGGAGCCTTATTGGATTCTGGTGGCTTTTGATGGTTGCTTGCTTTCCACTCCCTCCATTTCCAAAGCAAGTGACTTCCCCCCTCTGAAGCCTACTGGCCATGTCTTGTTCCTTCTCCAAAGAATCAGAGTCTCAGAGAGCTCCTCAGTAACCACCACTCTGATGTGCTCTTCCATTGGACTGTGCTTGCTAGATTTCTGGATTCCCCAAATGTGCATTTCCACACTGAATGCCCCTGCCTTGCGGCGTGTGGTGAGCCCCTTAAGCTGGGTTCCGGCAGGCCAGGGTTACAGGTCCCAGGCCTCCCTTTTATTCTGTCTCAGTCAATTCCTTCATATCAGTAGATCTAGGATGGCTTCTTCTCTGAATGGATTCTCCAGTATCCAGGTCATTCAAGTCCTAGGAATGTGGACTGGTGCTGGACTGGCTGAATCCTCTCCCAGAAGAAACCAGGAGAGGTAGCCTCCCATGAGCAGAGGTCCCAATGGTTTTGAGTTCCCCAGGTGCTGGAGCTTGTCCCTGTTTGAGTCTCATCCTCTCTGCAGCTCAGCAGAGCAGTCCCCTCCCTCGTTGTTATCGAAATGCAGATCACAGGGACTTCAGACCTGGTTCAGGCCCAGCTGCCAGCACCCTGTACCTCCTTTACACCACGGCGAGTCCCACTCACAATGGGCACCCACAACTCACAGGCTCTGGTTTTGCCCCTTCCAATCTCCCTCTTTGGCCCCCGCACTCAGATCCCAAACATACATTTGCCAGGGCCTTGCACTGCCCAGCATCCTCTCTGGAGGGAGGGATAGCTCAGTGGTTTGAGCATTTGGCCTGCTAAACCCAGGGTTACGAGTTCAATTCTTGAGGGGGCCACTTAGGGATCTGCTGCAAAATCAGTACTTGGTCCAGCTAGTGAAGGCAGGGGGCTGGACTCAATGACCCAAGGTCCCTTCCAGTTCTAGGAGATAGGATATCTCCATTAATTTAGATAGAATGAATGAGCCAAAGATGTTAACATCACTGAGTCACTGTCTGACACCAACAGTGCTAAACAAGGTCCTCGGGGTTAGTATCCACAGACCTCAGCCTGCTTTGTCCCCTGGGCAAATACACCATTAAACATCCCTTTAGCCTTCTATTAACATACTGAAAAGAAGGGAAACAGGTGAAACCTTTGCCATGTAAAATGTGAAGTCAAGCTGGCATTGTAACAGGATCCCTTTCCCTTCAGCTGGACAGTTTTTAGAATGAACAAACCCCACCCCCATGTTGTTTGACAGTCCCTTAGATCAGGGTTTCTCAGCCCATGGGTCAGGACCCAAAACTGGGTCGCCAGAATGTTTCAAAGGGTTGAGTGGCAGCTCGTTTGTGTCCCTTGGGGCTGGCTGGGCTCACCTCCCTGCTCCAGGCGCTGCAACCTCTGGGTCTCAGCATCACTCAGGATTGGCCCAGCCATCATGGTGACAGGAGTTTGGGGAGGCCAAATTTGAGTGAGTGGCACTGCAACCCCAAGAGCCAGGTCACAACTCCACTCACGCAAATTTGGTCTAGACAGGGGGGCGGGGCCGAACCTGAGTGGCGCTGCAACCCCAGAGGTTGCAATGCCCAGAGCAGAGAGCCAAGCCCAGCCACAGCACAGGAGCTGCAGGAGCCGCCACTGTGGGGTGAGTGCCGGGCAGGACCCAACCCTCTTGGGAGGGGAGGCAGGATCCAACTGAAACCACCCCATGGCCGAGGGTTACCATATTTCAAGTTCCGAAATAGAGGACACTGCCAGGGGGAGGGGGAGTTGAAGAGCAGGTATAGTTTCTATGGCAGTACCATCCCATCCCACCCTTAATTCTGCCCTGCCAGCAGCCGCTGCTCTCCAGAAGGCAAGGAAGAAGGACAAGCAAGGAAAAATCACAGACATTTGTTCGTGTTTCAAAAGTCCGCCCAGATGGAGGTCGGCGGACCAGAACAGAGGTCATGTCTGGGAAAACCCAGACATATGGTAACCCTACCAAAGCCTCTGCCCTCAGACTATTTACTGGGTTTCAGCAGGCCATAAACATTTGCAAACGGATCCGGAGCCCAAAAGAGTTCAGAACCACTGACTTAGGTGGTATCAAAGATGGCGGTAACGGTCATCCCAGGTGGTGATTGGGATTCAGCTGGAGCCGGTGGGGTGGCCATGTCAGCTGGGTCCCTTGTGCTAGCCCGGTGTGGTCAGGACACCTCTTGGGATCAGGATCTGCCCTGGAGTCCCAGGAAGCCCTGAGCATGACAGCCATGATGGTGAAGCTCGCTCCAGGAGCCTCTGTCCTTCCTGTCTGTTTTTATTTTTGTTCTTTTCTTCCCGATGAAATCTCGTTCTTATAAGGACCAAAAAAGGGAGCGATGGGTGGAATAGCTCCTCCCCTCATTATTTTGTCATAGATTCATAGGGTTGGAAGGGACCTCAGGAGATCATCTAGTCCAACCCCCTGCTCAAAGCAGGATCAATCCCCAACTAAATCCCCAAATGGCCCCCTCAAGGATTGAACTCACAACCCTGGGTTTAGCAGGCCAACGCTCAAACCACTGAGCTATCCCTCCCCCCATTTAGGTCTCATTTCTGACATACCAATTTTGGCTCATTCACTTCCTGCTCCACATCTCCTGTTTTTAACTGTGTAATTTCAACACAGTCCTTGACTTATATCAGCTTGGCCTTTTTGTCTGGACTAATTCAGCTATTCTGTCTCCCCTTGTACCTTTCCCCATCAGCGTGAGTCATTATAGGGTATTGTAACAACTTATGAACGTCTACAGCCATTTCACAGTTGAGCTCACAATTTGGGTCAATATGTAGGCCCAGTTGTTACAACACCACGCCGCATAGCGATCCAGAGGCAACCCCACATCCACTTCCTGAGCTCCTGCCTGAGGGGACACTCCTGCATTACACTGAGAGCCGGACAAGGGCATGCCTGGAAAGCTGCAGTGAAATGCCAAAGAGATGCCTGGAAAATGCTGCATTGGGCTGCTAGGCAGGAACTCATCACAGACACACGCTGAGAGCTACCAGAACTCATCACACCCAGGGCTCCTAAGCAGGAGCTAACCGGGCTATACTGCCTGAAGGACACAGAGCCAGGATGGAGGGAGGCAAGGAGGGGCTTATGGGCAGGGGCATGTGGAGGTCATCTGAGGCTCATTAAGGGCACTAGAGGGGCAGGTGGAGGCCATGGATCCAGACGTGGAGCTCGACTTTCCAATGGTCGTAGCCAGAGCTGTCTGGGGCAGTGAGAGGAAGCGGAGAGGCACGGGGAGGAGGAAAAGGCCCCTGGTGGCGAGGGGAAGTAGAGGGACACAGAAGCGGAGAGGCACGGGGAGGAGGAAAAGGCCCAGGAAAAGGCCAGTCCATGTGGATGGCAAAGGAGATCAAGGGTGAGTAAGGAGTCGTGATGTGGAATTGGCAGTGAATGTGACAGCCACAGAGCAGCAGATGGCAGGGGCTGCCTCGGCTCCCCTGGGAAGGCAAGAGGGAGAAGATGTCAAATAAGAAGGGGCTGAGGCTGGGAGGAGCCTGTAAGGAAGGAGGGGTGGAGCTAAGCAAAGGCCAAGCGTCACTGACACACACACCCATATTGGGTCTCTGCTATACATTGTATAGCTCCCAGCATCAGGGCCTGTTGGGCAAAGCTCGCAATCTGAATCTGAACCTGTGACAGCAGGGGCTGTGGGTTGGGATTGAGGGGCACTGGCAGAGCAGTGGGGAAGCCAGAGCTGGGATAGCAGAGGGTTGTGGGGGATGGGAGCCCAGGCCTGGGATAGCCGGGGGCTGCAGGTTGGGATTGAGAGGCATCAGCTGAGCTGGGGGGAATGGGAGCCCAGGGCTGGGCTGTCGGGCTGTGGCTGTGGATTGGGAGTGAGGGGCACCGGCAGAGCTGTGAAAGGGGGAACTCAGGGCTGGGATAGCCAGGGGCTGCAGGCCAGTATTGAGGGGCATTGGCAGAGCTGTGTGCGGAGGGCCCATGGCTGGGATAGCAGGGAGCTGGGGGGGGCACTGGCAGAGCTGAGTACAGAGGTCTGGGCATTAGGAGGGAGTTGACAGAGACTTCTAGACATCATTTCCATCTTGGAGTCTCTCACACCATCGCTGTCATCTCTCTGGGTTGATTTGTTTCCCTTTTTTTTGTTGTTGTTGTCCTCCCCAGATTTTTCCCAGCTCCCCACCCCACATGTTCACTCCACTTCAGCCCCTTCGTCAGGCCCTTCCCAGTTCACCACTCATGTTACCATGGCTACTGCTTCATCCTTCACTCCAGTTGCTGTCCAAGGTACTGTAAGCTCCTTTTCTATTTCTTTATGGATTCCCTGCTCCCGTGCCCAGTGGGGAGCGCTGCAGGACATAGGAAGAGAATGGCTGCCAAGCCCAGAGGGACAAGGGCTGTGGCTCCAGTGGAGGAATTACTGCCAGCCCCTGGCTAGTACAGTCAGGATTGTTCCTAGCACCTGGCTTCTTCGTTGGAATGTCCAGGTTCTGCAGCCGCCTTGCCAGTTCACACTGCAAAGCCAGAACCCATAGGAGTAAAAGGTCCCATACTGTGGCAAGTAGGATTGTGGTAGCAGAAGAGGCCAGTGGCCCATCTAGTGTGACAGGCCACCTCCCGGTTAGCCCTTCTAGCCCAATACTGCTCCTGCCCATGGTAACACACACCGCTGGTCTCTCGCTCTGGGTACTGTCTCTGCTGGAACCATTGCCAGAGGCTTCGGAGATTGTGGAAAACCCCCATATGCACCTTCTGGTCCCAGATGGGGAACCACCTATCTCTCCCCTAACACATGAGCCCTTAACATGTGTATGGTAGCGAGTGCCATTGCTTTCAGGCAGTGACATGTATAATCAATGTACTAACAGTACTAAGCTATTTGCTGTAATGCGGTCTTGTGGCAGGAAGTTCTATAGGTTAATCACACATTGCAGAAAGTGCCTTTTGTCTGTCTGAAGTGATGCCTTTTCATTTTGAATGCCTCTTGTTCTTGTGTTAAGGGGCTGGATGGCTCAGAGCCCTACTGGCTCCCTGCCCCGTTACTCTATTTATATCCTTCTGCCATCCTCTATTTTATTCTTCTCCATTCCAAACTCTCCCCCTTCAGATGCCCTCTCCATCTCTAAGCATTTCTGTGACCCTTCCCTGGACTTTCCAATTCCTGAGCCAACACTTTTGGGATAAAGCAACTAAAACTGAATGAAAATTTGCCCCTGCACGCCCAGCGCAGCTGGCAGACACTGTTCCCCCGACAGGCACAGACTCCTGACACTGCCCCTGCTCCCAGATGTGAACACCAGACATCATCCTCCTCTCCAGATGCAGACACGAGAAACACCATCACCCCCAGCACAGACATGAGACCCCGTTCTCCCCCCACCCCAAGCACAGACACATGAAACACTGTCATCCGCAGGCACAAGGCATTGTCCCCATCCCCCCAGCATGGACACAAGACACCATCACCCCCAGCACAGCCATGAGACGCTTCCTACCCCCAAGCACAGATATGAGACACCATCCCCCCAGCATGTACATGAGACACCATCATCCCCAGCATGGACACAAGACCCCGTTTGCACGGACATGAGACACCATCCTCCCCCGCCCCTGTGAGGCGGATGTGTAACCTTGGTATGGGGTTGGGGCACTGTGACAAGGGGCCTGGAGGGTGCTCTGTTGTGCCAAATGGCCAAGGTGGGGCCTGGCAGGAGGTGCTCTAGGGGCACTGCCCCCCGGTCAATGCCTGAGGTTTCCCTCTAAGTCGTGAACACCCTGCACTCCAAGCTGCTGTCCCCTTCAGCCCTGTTCTGCCTTTGCTGACAAGAGACAGGAGGGTTTGAACAGAGGGGCCAGAATGAACTAGGCCAATGTCAACTGCTCCGAGTGTAGTCACCCACCTGCCATGGCAGCTTCCAAGGCGAAGCACTCCTGACAGCCAGAGGAGCCAATTGCACAGGCTGTGCTGTTTCAGAGGCAGAGGAGCCTGGCAGAGCAGGGCCTGTGGTAGCAATGGAGATAGAGCCCCTGTGCATGTCACGGGCAGAGCCAGGGCTGCGGGTTGGGATTGAGGGGGCATCACAGAGCTGGGCAGGAGCCCAAGACTGGAATAGCTGGGGCTCTGCAGGGTAGGAGAGAGGGGCATGAGCATGTGGGGGAGAGTCGCTCATTCTGTGGCCAGTGCTAGTTGTTACGAGAACAAATGGATATAAACTGGCTGTCGGGAAGTTTAGGCTTGAAATTAGACAAAGGTTTCTAACCATCAGAGGGGTGAAGTTCTGGAACAGCCTTCCGAGGGAAACAGTGGGGGCGAAAGACCTCTCTGGCTTTAAGATTAAGCTTGATAAGTTTATGGAGGGGATGGTTTGATGGGATAACGTGATTTTAGTCAATAGATCAATAACGTGCCATCGCTGGTAATTAGTAACAATGGTCAGTGATGGGATATTAAAAGTTACTACAGAGAACTTTTTCTGGAGGGTCTGGCTAGAGAACCTTGCCCGCATGCTCGGGGTTCAGCTGATCGCCATATTTGGGGTCGGGAAGGAATTTTCCTCCAGGGTAGATTGGCAGAGGCCCTGGAGGTTTTTCACCTTCCTCCGCAGCATGGGGCAGGGGTTGCTTGCTGGAGGATTCTCTGCGACTTGAAGTCTTTAAATTATGATTTGGGGACTTCAACAGCTGAGTCAAGGGAGAGAATTATTCCAGGAGTGGGTGGGTCAGCTTTTGTGGCCTGCATCATGCGGGAGGTCAGACTAGATGATCATAATGGTCCCTTCTGACCTTAAAGTCTATGAGTCTATGAGTCTACTCGCTTTCAGGAGTGCTCATTGTACTCGAGACTAGGGCATGGGTTGGCAGGGGAAGGAGAGGAGAGGGGACAGGGTGGGTAGGGATGGGGTGGGGTGAGGCAGGATGGAGATAGGAGGGGATGGGTGGGCAGAGGAGAGGAGAGAGCAGGGATGGGGTGGGGAGGGATGGAATGGACAGGGACTGGGGTGGGCTTTCACCTCTTGCCCAGTCCGAGCTCTCCAGGCCCTTTGACCCGCTCTGGCCTCTCTCTCTCCACTCTCCTCCCCTCCCAGTTTCCTCCTCTTCTGTCTGCATCCAGCCCCATCACACTGGGACAAGAGCTTTCTCAATTGCCGCTCCACTGTGCATCCATCGCATTTCCCATCTCTGCTGGCAGCTCGTCTCTGTGTCCATCGCATTTCCCATCTCCACCGCAGCCCCTCTCTGCCTCCATTGCATTTCCCATCTCCACTGCAGCCCCTCTCTGCCTCCATCGCATTTCCCTTCTCCACCGCAGCCCTTCTCCACATCCATCACATTTCCCATCTCCCCTGGCAGCTCCTCTCTGCAGCCATCACATTTCCCATTTCCACTGCAGCTCTCTTTGCCTCCATCACATTTCCCATCTCCACCGCTGCCCTTCTCTGCCTCCATCATATTTCCCATCTCTGCTGGCAGCACCTCTCCTCTCCTCTCTCTGCCTCTGCACTTCTCTCTCCCACTGGTAATATTTCACTCCCAGCTTTTAGGACCTGGCAGCTGGTGGGAAGGACATGGCCATGGGGAAAGCTGTGCTGTGCTGTAATGAGCCCTTAGCACCTCGAGGTTTCATGTAGGGGCACATGGAGCCAGGCCAGGCTCACACATTGCGACCCCCCAGTTCTGGCACTGAGAGAGTCTCTGTACCATGCAGGACTTCAGCAGGGCCTGTAAACACCTCTGTCTCTCTCTCTCTCCCCCGCACTGCCACATGGATAGACGCCAGCCCGATGTCTTCCTCCTCTGGCACATACCATGCTGTGATTGGTGGAGTGGTCGCAGTCATCGTCTTTCTGCTGCTCAGCCTGCTCATCGTCCTGGCACACTACCTAATCAGGCACAAAGGTAAGGCCTGGCCACTGCCTACAGCTCAGCTGACCGGCTGGCCTCTCAGAGATAGGAGGGAGAAGGCAGCCAAGTCTCTCTCGCCAATGGCCCTTGGTCTATTCCTGATTGCTCCCTGTTTACTGCTCTCCGTCCCCTGCTCTTCCAGAGCCTCCTGGGGCTTAGCACTGCCATGCGAGGCACAAGTGTTTTGCTTTCACGGCCCGGGTGCTGCAGGGGCATGCTGGGCATGGAGCATGCGGAGCTAGAGTTCCAGCCCTGGGGGAAGGAATCTCCTATTGCCCCGCAGCACCCCCTGCCTGCCAAACTCAGAGGAGTAGCGCATTACCTGGCACAGGGAGCGGAGACCTGACTGATGTGCTGAGAAACCTCAGCAGCTAAAAGCAGATCAAATTAAATCTGCACAGCACCGCATGGGGATTCCTGGTGGGTCGTTCTCCCTCCCTGGGGGCTGGCAGCTTGAGCGTTTCTCCCACTGACCCCCAAGAGCAGGAGCAAGTCCCACAAGACTCTTGTAACCAATCAGCTTCTGCCTGCCTGAGCCCGGGATAGGGAAGGCTCCCAAATCGCATCCCTCCCTTCTCTGTCACTCTCCCATCACCTCTCTCTCACACCCTGTCTGTCTAGTATCAGCATGTCATCGTTTTCTGTTCATTTCTCGAGCACTCATCCACCTAAATATCCTGCATCACATTCAGTCTATTCCTGGACACCTAGACACTCATCCTCCCCTCTCTGACGATCTGCAGAGATTTTTCATTGGCCATATATTATCTGTCCATCCATCCATCTGTCCACCTCTAACCATCCATCTACCATCCACCCCGCCCCAACCAGGCTATTCACCTGTCCCTTGACTTTTCATCTGTCCAGCAGATATCTGTATAAAACACAGAGGGATGGTCAGTCGTGCTGGAACCTGTGATGTTCATCATATTCATAAATGAGCTGGAAAAGGAGGTGAACAGGGAGATGGCAAAATTTGCAGATGATACAAAATTACTCAAGATAGTTAAGTCCAAAGCTGACATCAAAGAGTTACAAAGCGAACTTACTAAACTGGGTGACTGGGCAACAAAATGGCAGATGACATTCAGTGTTGATAAGTGCGAAGTAATGCACATTGGAAAACATAATTCAAATTATTCATACAAAATGATGGGGTCTACATTAGCTGTTACCACTCAAGAAAGAGATCTTGGAGTCATTATGGATAGTTCTCTGAAAACATCCACTCAATGTGCAGCGGCAGCCAAAAAAGCTCACATATTGTTAGGAACCATTAGGAAAGAGATAGTTAATAAAACATAAAATATCATGTCAATATATAAATCCATGTTAAACCCACACCTTGAATACTGCATGCAGTTCTGGTCACCCTATCTCAAAAAAAAATGAGAACTGAAAAAATTACAAAGATCAACAAAAATGATTTAGGGGTATTAGGAGAGATTAAAAAGACTGGGACTGTTCATCTTAGGAGAGATATGATAGAGGTCTATAAATAATGACTGGTGTGGAGAAAGTGAATAGGGAAGTATTATTTACCTCTTCACATAACACAAGAACTAGGGTCACCCAATGAAATTAATAGGCAGCAGGTTTAAAACAAACAGAAGAAAGTACCTCTTCACACAATGCACAGTCAACCTGTGGAACTCATTGCCAGGGGATGTTGTGAAGGCCAAAACTATAACTGGGTTCAAAAAAGAGCTAGATACATTCATGGAGGATAGGTCCATCGCTGGCTCTTAGCCAAGATGGTCAGGGATGCAACCCCCTGCCCTGAGCCTCTGACAGAAGCCAGGACTGGCACCAGCCACTGTTGGAAGACAGGATACTGGGCTAGCTGGACTGGTCTGACCCAGTATGGCTGTTATGTGCTTATGACACCAGGCCAGCTTCAGAGATGATGTGTAAGTTGGAAACAGCCACCCCCTCAGCTCCTTTGGAGCTAGGTGCACCCCCAGCTAATGTAAGGGAGTCGGAGTTGGTACAACTTACATACTGAGGAGCCTGGGGGTTGAAGTTCATGTGGGGTGGAGGCTTCTTTGCTTTCTGCTGTCCTACACACTCTGGGTAGGTGCTCTCCTGGCCCCTCCGGCTGTCACCTCACCCTTGGCAGTCATTATTTGTGTGGCTGTAGCTCCCAGAGCCCCAAGCAGCTGGGGCGGTGATGGGCTGGGTGCTGCACAGACCCAGAGGCAGCCATGGTCCGTGCCCTGAAGGTCCCACACCCTGCTCAACTTGTGGCTGATGAGTGAGGTTGTTTCAGCCTGGAGGGTGCTGGCAGGAGTAAGGTGCCCACTGAGGGGCTGGGAGTTGGTGGACATTACATGGGCTCAGACTTGTCTCTTGACCTAGCCCCTGGGGCTCCAGGCTGCACCTGGCCGCGGTGCTCTCAGCACAGGCGCCGTGAGTACAGCTGGCCGGGAATGATTTTCCAATGCCCTCTTTGCAAAATTGAGGTTTTGGGTGGGAAAATTGAAATGCCAGCAACCTGGCCACCCACCTGCAGGACAGGTGAGATTGACAAGAGCCAGTTCCAGGCAGTTCCCGGCCAGCTGCAAAACTCCAGTTTGGTTCTCCCACAGCAGAATTTTTTCCATTTCTGCCCAAGCAAAATGTCAAGGTTTCTACTTCTCAGCTCACACCCAGAGGAAATATTTTCTGAAACCTCAACATTTTCAGCAGGATGGAAATTCCATTTTCCGGCCAGCTCCAGCTGTGAGCTCCAGCCCGGAATCCCCTTTGAGCCCTGCCTGCCACATGGTCCCTCTCCCGGGTGGTGCAGAGAGAGCCCAAGAGCCACCTAAACCACTAGGCACATGATGAATGAGAGCCCTCTCCCTGCCCAGGTACCTACCTGACTCACGAGGCCAAGGGATCAGACGATGCCCCGGATGCTGACACTGCCATCATCAATGCGGAGGGAGGCCAGGCCAGCGGCGATGACAAAAAGGAATATTTCATCTAGGGGTGCAGAGTGGAGAAAAGAGAAATGGAGCCAACAAACCCAGATGGAAATGGAAACCGGACCACAAACCCCACTCAACCCAACAGATTTTCTCTCATGCCCTGGATGGATGGACGAACAGAGGGATGGCGGGACAGAGACCAGAGAGTGACCGGCTTGACTCATGATGCTTCTTCTCGAACTTGTATAAAACGTTATTACTAAAAACATTGAAAGCCCCACCCCCGTTCGCTTGCTTGTACCTTCATACCCGCGACCGACACTCGCACTAAACACACAGACAAGCCAGTGAGTGAGTGACACTTTCCTTCTTTCCTTTGGCCCCTTTGCTTTGGTTTTGTGGATGCTCTTTGCTTTGGTTCCTTGGGTTGGAGTGTCGGGGTGGGGTCAATGTTGCTCTTTCCGTTGCTTCTCTCCATTTTTGGTTCCTTTTACGTCCAAGGATAAAATCAGCCCTCGTGGTGGCTGCCTGCTGCCATGGGCCTGGGCAGCCTGGGATGCTCTTTCTGTTGCTTATGTTTCTCATCCGAGAACCGGGGCCACGATTCCATTGTGTTCCCCCGTCCTTGGCTCCTGCATGGTGCTCTGAGCCAGACCCATGGGAATGACCCTGGGCTGAGCATGGGAGGCGGTGACGTGGGGTCTTTCTCTGCCCCACAGCAGCAAACAAGCCATGAGAGCCCAGGGGAATGTCCAGTGAGAGCGAGGAGACCGGGGAGCCACCCAGCCCGGCTCCTCTCCAGAGGGATGTGCCCTCCCCACAGCAAGATGGGGAGGGAGGCAGTGTCACTCCCTCAGAGAGCCTGGCACACCCAGCCTGCTGGGGCCCTGCACTGATTTTATCCTTGGAGGTTGTGTCTGACAATGTTCATTTGGGAGGAGAACTGTCCTGTGTGATACATGTACAAAGGGGAGCCAGCTGCCAGGATGGGAGCCGCTCATAGGCTCCAGTCCCCACTGACGCCCAAGGAGAGAGATTCAAATGCTGCAAGGTGACTGGCAGTGCTCGTGCATGGTTCCAAGAAAGGCTGTAAAGTGTCAGATTGGAGCCTTGACAATAACCCATCTGGTGAGATGCTCAGTGCAAGGAAACCATCCTTGTGTATCTTCCCTGTGCCAGGGAGTGATGAGCAGAGCGAGGCCCTGGCAAGCTAGGTGACAGGGGTGAGAGTGTCCTGGGCCTCCATGCTGCTGTCATGCCTTTCCTGCTCTCTGACCAGTCGACCTGCCCCAGCGCCAAGGCCCGGGGAGCATTTGGAGATAGAAACCTTGCTATGATCACAGGTGACTTGGCCAAGGGGCATCTTTCTTCTAGACCACAAATAGCTGAGCAACCTCATTCCCACAAACCAACCACCCAGAATCTGAACCATTACAGCTCAGAACCTGAGTGGCTGCACCAGACAGGGTGCTGGCAACCCCAGCTAGGGCCAGGGGAGGGAATGAGCTTCGTGGCAGACTGCCCTGGATCCAGCTCAGCGGCCTGGGAAGTGTGCTCAGGGGCTGAGCTGCACGTGATCGGGGACAGAGCGAAGTTTGCTCATCAGACCTCTCAGCTTTGGGAACCGTAAATTCAGTCAGGGAGCCCCCTCCCCAGGCAAGAGCCTGAGAGCAGCGTCTCAAGCCACAGGGCTGTTGCCTGTCGCCCACTCTCCAGAGCCAGAGCCCTGCTCCCTCTGGAGCCCGCATGGCCCTCACCTGCTGTCGCCCCCTTTGAAGAGCACACATCATTCCCCACTGAAGAGCCCCAAGCCTAGCCCTTGAGATGGGCTCAGCCAGACAGCCTGGGAAGTGGGTGAGGGGCTCAGCTAGAGCTGCCAGACTGGTGGGGGCTTAGCTATTACAGCCATGCTGGGGGTTCCTCTGATTCTCCTCTGAGGTGTTCACTGTTATCAATGCCCAGGATTTTATCAAGAGTTTCCTGAGATCTGGTGTTTTTCTCAAAGCCCCAGCTCCTGGAGTCCTGTGAATATCTGAGCCTCTCAGCCTTCATTTTTAAAAAGTACATTTCTAGCCCTGCTGG